GAGGGAAGGAAGGGTGTAATAAGAGGAGTAATCAGAAGCTGAATCTGATGTCTGACTGCTCATACCATCTTATAATCTTCATATTAGAAACAAAAACATATTTTTGGATAAAAACTGAACTTTTTAAGATGATCATTATTTAATTTCTTTTCATCTTAGTGTAAAACTCAGACAGAAAAGGATCAGAATGACAAGGCTGTACTGCTGAACTAAGGTGATAAAGACGTTGCGACTCAAAGCTAAGACAACATGGCTTCCCCTCTGTACTCCCCAAAGTCTGTCTGACACCACTACCTTTCTTTCTTCCTCACTCTCTCATTTTTCAGTCAGTCAGACATTAAAGAAAAAATCTCATATCTGCCTCCGCTCTTTGTCATGAGTGAGAAAAAAAAAATCTTTCTTTTTCTTTAGCATAAACCAGAGCAATCTTATTAGTTCAGTTAAACTGATAAACAACGGATATACAATTTTAAAATACAGCATTATTTGACAAGAACTACACAGATATCACTGTTCTACCCTGGAATATCACTAATTAGCTTTTCCAATTAACATGAGCGGCCTGTCAATCAATCCTGAGGCTCGTTGGCAACCGACCAATCAGGGATGGCGATTTGTCCCGTAGCGGAAAGGCCCTCCACTGCAAGAGAAGCGTTTGCTTCCGTTTAGCTCGCAAAAAGTTTGCATTGATTAATTATTTACAAACCTGCATCAAAGGGGATGTGTTGCAAACAATGACCCAAGCCTGATCGTTTATGTGATAAAAACATGCTTCAGTTTTTCATGTTCTATATTATTTCACCAGTTTTTTATAATTGTAAAAAACAGAGATGGACTCACAGCAAGTCTGACTGCGTCCTTATTATTTAGCCTCGTAGAAAGCATGGACTTTAATGTCCATTTTTTTGCATTTCCACCGTCTGTTTTCTTTGCCTGTTTTATGATCAGACAAATTGCCTCATTAAATGCTTTGGGTACCGTTGTGCTTCACTATATCACCATCATCCCTAGCCTGCGTGCATTTTCCTACACTTGACTTCATGTCAATTGTTAATGGTCCTTTCACATCGCGACCCACTCGTTTTGGAGAGGAAAACGTTATTGCATTTGCTTTGCATTCACACTGCACCCTTAAAGTGGACCAGACCAGCTTAAAATAACTTCATCCCATTATCACTGCTGCGCAGGTGGCAGCCGAATATGGCAAAAACATAAATAACAAAACACTTTTAAATCCTATTTTTAAGTCTAGATATCTAAAATTAAGCTTTTAATGAATTCAACTTTCTTCATTTTTTTTTTTTTAAACAAGGTCATCTAAAATCTTAATATATCTATCTAAAAAATCTAAGCGGTAGATCAAACTTTACTGATTTATCTCAGGTCTTATTGTATAATATTTTGATAAGCTAAATGATCTAAATGTTAATGGATAATAGCCAGATATAGGAGGGCTCTCCACTCTGACCCATTGGGCGGGAGAATCACGCATAACAGTGTCACGCATCACGCTCACAATCCATATGCTCAATTTTTCACGCTAAAAAATGACGGGCATAAAAACTCAACTCCTTTCCGCTTATTTATCCATAAAAATACCCTGCAGATAAAAATCCAGTCCGTGTTTTCAACACAACCTCAGTGCTAAGACAAAAGGACATGCAGGGTTCATACAGGCCGTATTTTTGCACCAGCCCACCTATTAACTGCTGAAAAAGCTGCCCAGACATTGAAAAAAGACTCTGATTTCTGAGCCATTATTACAAGATATTTTATTTGAATTTTTATCTTATCTGGACTAATTCATATTGT